TGTGATGTATATAATATGTAAATACAATATTTATAAGAGTTTTAATAGTTCAAAATATGCTAGTAATTTTTATTATTTGCTATTTATATATTGTCTCTCATTTAATTCTCTAAGCATGTCTATTAAACAGGAATTATCCCCATTTACTTTGAGGAAACAGGCTGGGGTGGCAAGAGAGCTCTCTTTGCCCAAATACATTCTGTGACCCATCCAGTGTTAGTTCTCTGGTAGAGCTAGAGTCCTAAAATAGTTACACTTAGCTGGTTTGGTTTCCTCCTGCTAAGGAGGTCCTTCTACCTTTCCTCTTTTCTAGAATCCCACCTACCTTCCCCACAGTTTTCCATTTCTATTTTAATACACAAATTAACACGTAGATACATTCCTGTTGTAAAAGACTTAAACATATAAGCAAATATAGTCCTTACTGATGAAGTTTTACATTGTGACCATTTATTCACTATATAATGCTGCAATGAACATAAAAGTATATACATCTTGTAAAAATATATTTAAGAGGGCTCCTAAAAAAGGAATTGCTATTGAAATATTTTAATTTTTTAAAAAAAAATTTATTTTAAGTAATCTCTACACCCAAAGTGGAGCTTGAAATCATGACCCTAAGATGAAGAGTTGCATGCTCTTCCAAATGAGCCAGGCAGGTACCCTGCTATTGGAATATTTAAAGTACTTATAGATTGCACCAAACTGTCTTACAAAAGCTTTACTAATTTATTATCCCTTCAAGTGTGATTGTGTCTGTTCATCATCCCTGCCAATACTGGTCACATAAATACTTTTAATTTTTGTCAATAGAAAAAACTAGTAACGACTTTAACTTTGTTCATGTTTCAATGGGGCTGTTTCTTTTTCTCACGATTTCTAGGTTTTCTAGGTACCTTTTACTCATTGCCCATGGTATTCTATAAAATGCAGCTTTTTAAAATTGTTTCAGAGTATTAAAAAATAGAACTCCCATATGTTCCAGCACCCCCACTTCTGTGTTTTTACCTGAAGAAAATGAAAACACTAACTAAAAAAGATATCTGCACCACTATGTTCATTGTAGCATCGTTTACATTAGACAAGATGGAGAAGAAACCAGTGTTTATTGATAAACATTTCTAAAGAAAATGTAACACACCCACACACCACAGAGGAATATTATTCAGCCATAAAAAAGAATGAAATCTTGCTATTCACAACAACATGGGTGGACCTTGAGAGCATTATGCTAAGTGAAATAAGTCAGAAAGACAAACGCCATTTGCTCTCTTATATGAAGATGATTGATAAATACAAAAACAAACAAACCAAGAACAGATTTGTGGTTGCCAGAGGGGGGAGGTGAGAGAAATCTGTGGAGTGTGTGTGTGTGTGTGTGTGTGTGAGAGAGAGAGAGAGAGAGAGAGAGAGAGCACTTAAATAAATTGAAGATTGAATGAATGATATAAACTAAGCATTAAAATAAAATAACACATAACATAAAATAAAGAAGCAACATTTCCTTTGCACAACTGAGTAGGAGCATAAAAATTTGTGACCTGCCACATACGATGGGCAAAAGGTCCTGGTCTAGAGGGGGCAGCCTGTTTTCCACTGGGCTCCTTCCTCTACATGTGTTCAGATTAGGGGATATGAATAAGTTATTAGAGGATATTGATTTCTCAGCAAGTCCGTTCATCTCCAGATAGCTGACCCCCAAATCGTTTCTTTTTCCCTATAGATGGTTCTTTTCCAAGTATATATTTGAAATAATTAAGTAAAACTAAACACAGCTTTATTTTGGTTTTGTCATTCTTTTTATAGCTCTTTTATGAAATTGCATGGACCAAGTCTTTGCTCCCTGGCCATATTGTACGTTCATGAAGGATGGGCCATATTTTAGTCTTTATTTGGTGGTCTCAGCTGCACATAAGCTCTTGTGATGTTGATTGAGTTTAATATCTTAACTGCATGGATGAATCTTGAGATTCTGTTTCCCTTTGAGTATTGACGTAGGTGAGAAACTCCCCACTAATTTACATCTTTCATTATCTTTGTGTTGTGGCCCCCAAGTTTCAACTTTGTATTAAGTAAAGATCATGAGATTTGTGTTAAAATCAAACTTTGAGGAGCGCCTACGTGGCTCAGTCGGTTGAGCGTCCGCCTTCAGTTCAGGTCATGATCTCATGGCTCATGGGTTCGAGCCCCGCTCAGAGCCTGGAGCTTGCTTCAGATTCTGTGTCTCCCTCTCTATCTTCCCCTCCCCCACTCATGCTCTGTCTTTCTGTCTGTCTCTCTCTCCCAAAAATAAACATTAAAAAAAAAAACCTCTTGATTACTAGTACTTTTTTGGAATTTGTTTTTGAATAATTAACAGATTGATTTGTTGTTACTATCATTCTGTATCACTGTCAGTATTTTCAAAAACAAAATAAACCACCTCTGGTATTAGTGATTTAGACAAACAACATGGACGCATAAGCCAGACCTTTTCCAGTTGATCAGTATATCTGGGTGTTTGATCAAGGTTGAAAAGTAACATTCAACCATTTGGGATTTTGGTCACAATTTTTCTTTCTAGTTTCCCTGTGTTCTTGAGTGTGGATAATAAAGGAGACAGTACACAGAGTCATAGTGACTATCTTCAAATATTTGAATGGCTTGCGTGGAGAAGGGCGTAGGCTAGGTTAGCATGGCTTGAGACTTGCTCTGGTATAATCTCTGGCTTAGACATAGGACCAACCGCTGGAAATCAAGTGGATAGATTATTAAATACAACAAGGCATTATTTGAATGTGTCAGACTGACTAAAGAAGGAATCTATCACTGAGGGCAAAGAGTGCCTTGTTACTGGTTCCGTACGAGTAGTAGGTGGGGTTCAGGCATTTTGTGGTTGGTTAAACCAGGAGACTTGCTGCTTCCAGTGATGCTTTTGTTATCAAGTTTCTTAAAACATAGCCCTGAGTGCCCTTTTTTGAGATACAACCTTTTAGTTAACATAGAATTTCAGTCTACTAAAGAAATGGTATGATAGCAGTCTTATTAAGGATAAAAAAGGATAAAAGAAGATGGAGAGAAGATCAGCTACAGTTTGACATTCAGTACATTCCAGATCATTATTTCCCAAAGTGTGGTGGAGACGGGGTCATAAGAATCAGCTGGAATACTTATTTTGAAAAGTGCAGATTTCTGATGCTGGCTAGTTGGAGGAGAGCTCTCTCGCTCGCTCATGCGCTCTCTCTCTCTCGCTCGCTCTCTCTCCCTCCCTCCCCCCCTTTCTCTCCCTTTCCCTCCCTCTCTTCCCCCCCACCCCCCCTCATCTCTCAGTCTACAACTGAATTGAAATCCTGGGTGATTGTTATGTGAGGCTGAAGACTCCTGGATATTGTACAGTCTCATAGCAGAAAGCAGAGGCATCCACGGTGAAGTAAAGAGGGAGCCTTTTCAGTCCATGCATCCCTCTTCCTTTACCTTCTTTGACACTGTTAGCTTCAATAGCTACTGTTTCTGGTTAAAATCCAAATGGAGAAGAACAATAATACTCCCCATCAAATTTGTAGCGTCAGATGGTAAACCAGTCAGCAGCTTTCCATGCCCGTCCAGTTCACTTGCCTGTTTTCAGAGATGCGTTGCTTTCTCTGACTGATGATGACCAGGAGGAGGGTGACATTGGCCGCATGCTTGCTTTGTGCAGAGCCCGAGCTAAGCACTTTCCTTGGGTTATTTAATTCAGTCAGTACTGCTGTAAAGGACAGGTGTTAGAATTACTGCCTCCACTTTGGGCAGAGGAAACTGAGGCCTGGGAGCAGGTAAATGGCTTGCCCATGACTTGTCTCCTGTCAGCCAGTAGCAGAGATGCAATTTTCCACCCAGACCTGGCTTACTAGCTGGAGTCCAGAAGATGGGGGGGGGATGTGCAACTGTAAGTTCAGTCAGGGTTTCCCAGTACACTTAATGAACATTTTTGTAATATAGAACCTTACTTGCATTTTATTGTTAAATCAAGCCTAGGAGATTCAACATTTCATCATAGTGTGTATCTATGAGCCATCATACTTCATTTGAACTTGAGAAGCTAAGAGAAGAAACCAAATAATGGTTGACCAACTTTGAATAAGATGGAACCTCACCTTGATTACCTTAAATATTAATAACAAAGAAGATGTTTAGGACTCTTTTTTTTTTTTTTTTTTAATGTTTTATTTATTTCTAGGAGAGAGAGAGGCAGCGTGAGCAGGGGAGGGTGAGAGAGAGAGGGAGTCACAGACTGAAACAGGCTCCAGGCTCTGAGCTGGCAGTCAGCACACAGCCCGACGCGGGGCCCGAACCCACGAACCGCGAGATCATGACCTAAGCGAAAGTCGGACGCTTAACCGACTAAGCCACCCAGGCACCCCTTTAGGACTCTCTTTTTAATCTACATGTTAACTGTCATCCCACAGAGCAGGATTTGAAAAGCAGGTACCAGGAGGGTCATACTTGCCTGAGCTTAAGCCTGCCTTAACTTTGTAGTTGGTGACGAGAAAGTAGTGCTGGATGTCAGAACTAAAACATCCCAGCTATGAAAATAATTTCATAAGTTACCTTATACTGGTTGCTTCTAATTTTATATACAGAATAACAAAGCCATTCACCATGAAATTTAATGTTTGTATTTGCTTAAGTGATTCATGGACATATGGGTGTGTGTTATATTCTGTCTGAAATTTTTCATAATATTTTTATGATGAATGAGAAGAGCCTTTTAAATTAAGACTTGATTAGAAAACAGTGGTTATTAAGAACACCAACAATGATTCTGTTAAAGTAACCTTTGAAAGAAAATGTTTCCTAATTGAATAATAGAGGGTTGAGAATAAATAGTTAAAATTAAGTTTGTTGTTTCTTCTATTTCTACATTGCAGCAGCATGTTCAACACAGTAATTTTATTAAGTGACTGCATATTTCACAGAAAATTAGATTTAGAAACAAATATCTCTTAATCTAAACTTTTCCCTTAATCTAGAAAAGGCATTCTCAGAAAAAATGTGTTAGTTCCTTTTCTCCTCTGAAGGTCATCTCCGATATTAACTAATGATGTGCTTTCTCTTGTCCCCGTCCGTAAGCGGTATGGATCTGTGTCAGGCTAGTGGCCATAGCTGGGCAGAATATTTCTGAATTGTTTCTGATAATATTGACCTAATTTCATTTTGTAATACGTGCTCTAACTGGTAAGAAGTTCAATGTGCTGAGGAAGCCCTACAGAAAGCAATCGATTCTTTAAAGGGTTTCAATGCCAATTAGTGTTTTAATCGGTCGGTGTATATGTAACAACCTGCCTGCTGCTTCTCCCGTAGCATTAAAACTTCCTTTTGGCAAAACGACGGTGATGCATTTGGTCGCCAGAGAGACACTGCCAGAGCCCAACTCTCAAGGTAAGCCGGGGGCCGCAGATGCTACTCACTTGAGCTGTGGAGACAGATGGGCACTCAGAGTGGTTCTTGTTTTTTTGAACCTTGGGAGGGAAAGGAAGTTTTCATTGTTTATGAACAGAGCTTGTTAAGCAAGTAACCAGACATCCTGGAAACAGGCGATAGTGAAAACAGGCTATAGTTATAATTCCAGCTTTTTAATTAAAAAAAAAAAAATTGCAGACATTAAAAAAAAAATTCTTAACTATATCTGGATGCCAGCCCTCCCCCAATGCCTGATTTGAGCATTTTTAGCAACAAGGCTTTCCTGCCTTTTCTCTAGGTCAGAGGAATCGCGAAAAGACTGGAGAGAGTAACTGCTGTGTGATCCTGTGAACGCCATGCGCTGCGTGTGCCGGACGGAGTCCTCGTCTTTCATGCTGCTGGGACAGAGGAGACCCCCGTTGCTTTACCCTTAGGAGGAGTCCGCCTGTAGATCCACGGACCCGAATGACCCCATGAACACCGTCCTCTTTCGTCATCCACGTAAAGAGAACCAAGGACATTTTTCCACCATGATTTTTTATTTCTAGTATCTTTGTTTATGTTGAGCAGTTTTAAAATCTGTTGGCTTTTGAGTGCTGCCGTCTCCAGGCACACAGTGAGCAGGTCCTGTCCGGGCGGAGACCGCTCTGCGCACAACTAACAAGTCACGTGTTCCAACGGTCGTTTGCACTAAAAAAAAGATTGATGTTGTTTTCCTCATCAGCTTTCACAGCATGGTTCATGGTACCTAAAAATGCTCAGAAATACAATTCCACACTGGAAAACACTCAGCAATTAACGAAGTTAGTTAACGGGCCAGCTGGAGAGGGGGAAATGGAATAGGAATGGAAATGGTGGGCGACCGCCACCGAGGCCAGCCGTGGCGGCCGCTCAGGCACAGAATACGAAACTGAGTGTGACCGTTTTCACGGCCACAGACGAAAAAGCAAAACGTGCCTGTTGAAAGCACTCAGTGGAGAGCTGACGAAACGAATTGCTTTTCCTTTCACACCCGCGCGGTCACTGAGTGCTCGTCCACACAGCACAGAAGGGGTGCGAGTGCGCTTCCTAGCCTTAACGTGGGAGGGTCAGTTCCCTGCTCGGAGACGTCCGTTGCCGCACAGAGATCATAGCAAACCTCATTTCCTTACCAGTTTTATGTATTTGAAGATCAGCACATAGAATTTTCCCATAATTATTGCTCATCTGTAACTACGTCCCAGGTCACACTCACTCATTCGAGTTCAAATGAATTCTTAAAATTGAAATAATTCTCCATAGTAACTCGTTTTGTTTCTTTACGCGGTTTGCATTTGGTATTAGTGCTTGCAATTGTATTGAAATCAAAAGCTGACTTTTAAGGCATACTACATGATTAAGGATGCCATTCTTTTGTTTTATACCAATAATTTAAAAATTGATATGCTAAAACCAATTTGCACAGCACTAAAGCATGAGCTACTTTCATCTAACCCTGTAAAAATATAAAAGATTTTATATTTTTTCACTGGGAAGAAATCCTTCCTGGATGAAATCACAAATATGTGTAGAATATATTTAATAAAAAACTTATAAAATACCTAACTATAGAACTGAAATATAGATTGGCGTGCAGCATAGAGAACAATACTCCATATAAATGACTTTAGCCTTTATGAAAACGAAGTCGCGGCCTGACACTGTGTTCTGTACTGAAATAAGTGTCCGTGGCCCTTAAAAACATTCAGTGTAAATGGTTTCAGATGGTCAACTTTGTCTCAAAGCAATCTGGTTATTTTACTCATTGTCAGTGCTTTGATGGAAAGAAAGGCTTTATATGCAGTAGATCTTCGAAAATCTTGTTCATACTGATCAGAATTAAATTTGTATAGAGCAGAGTTTTAAAATGAATGTAAATAGCACTAAACATTTTCTTTCCGCAACCTGTACTTAGAGATTCTTTCTGTAAACTAAACAAATAAAATATCGTAGTGCATTTATTTCAGTGGTAATTTTAAAGGTCTTGATTAAGTCGATTGTTGTTTAAGCACCGTCTCCTCCATGTTCAAATTGTGTTCTCCTTTGTTTCGGACTCTTTAAGCATTTTGTTTCCTAATCTGTTGTTAGCTCCAGGAGTGTTCCCAGTGTACCTCTGATATTTAACCTGGTTCATTTGTGCACAGAACAACGATGGGTAGAATCATGCAGTCTCTGTCATCACTCGGATGTTAAATATTTATATGCTTTGTTGACTAGCTCACGTGTGAACTCTGTTAGTGTTTGACGCAGGAAGAATCTGGTAGTTTCTTAATTGGGCAGCGAAGCCATTTATGGCTATGTTCTTCTTTTGGAAAGCAATTACGACTGGTAATTATTTTTAATACCTGTTTTAATTCTAATTACGCTTCTGTTTTCCCAAAGTTAAAGACTATCAGTTCATTATGATTGAATTTTTATGATGGTTTAAAAAATACTGTCTATTGGTTTTCAGTATATTTTTCTGTGTGTTCTCATGTTATAAATTTCCCTTCCGCAAGACCTCAATTTAAAGTTCGCAAAATGGATAAACTGGTTCATTAGTAGAGAAAGAATTCTATCACTTAGTTCCTAATAACATTATTGTGCAAAATGAAAAAAAATAGCAGTAAAATTATATACTGAAAACACCAAAAATTTAGATGCCTTAATAGTACATACACGAAAATACTCAACTCTCCCTTTTAAAATAGTTCCTTGGACCGCCTGACGATTAAAATATGATTTATCGTATCCAAGGCTACTGTGGAAGCTCCCTCTGCCAAAAATAACAGCTCACTTGCCGCAAGGTAAAGGCTGCAAAGATCTGGTGATGGAAATAAAGCCTGACTTACGGGCTTGTGACCCTGCCCAGCACCTGGTATCCAGCCCACGTCTTTGACCTAAATTAGCCTAGACTTTGTAAGTGTTCTGGACAAGGCAAAGCTTTTCTTCTTTGTTAAAACCTCAGCATGTCTCCCTGATCTGAACTACTTGCTTTCTCTCCAGGATAGGTCGTATCTCCTCCTCTCATGAAAAATAGAGTATCTACCATCGTCAGTCACATTAAATGAGGTTTTCTCATAACCAACATTTACCCTTAGTTTTATGTCACCTTGACCAATGTTGCAGTAATTTCTGTTAGCTGATTGTGGTAAACAATGTTTCATGTGAAAACAAATTAAAACTTTCTTCATCTGTTGCAGAATATTCTCTTCTTTTAAATGACGTCTACTTGTAATTTTGGTGTGTTTTCCTATTCTTTACCGATTTTCCTTTTTTCTTGCCTTCAGTTTATTTAGTACGTTCTCTAGTAAAATCACACCGTGCCAGCCTTTATTCTTTCATTTTGACCCAAATCAGAGGGAAATGATTCATCAAACTTCAGCACGCCCTCACACCATCCTTGTCGGTGACTGTCACGGCCGGAGTCTTCAGGGTTTTTTTCCATAACCGCTTTGTAATACGGTCACTTGTTAGCCAAACAGCAAGCAGGTGAGGGGGCCCCTGAGAAGGGTGAATGACCTATAGTTCTGGCTGCCAGCCTCTCCTCTAAGCGCAGGCCCCCCAGCCTGGGTAGAGTGGGCTGCTTGGCAGAGGCAGCGGGTGACCACTGTGCGCCCCTCGACTTATTACCTCCCCCCACCTCCCACCCCCGCCGCCTAGGGCGCTCTATTCCAGAGACTGCGAAGCTCTTTCCCAGATGCGGCGGGAGGGGCGTGGCCTCTGGAAGCGTTCAGGGGCAAATTCCACCAGAAGCCCGCAACCCTTGGAGAGTTTAAACCAGCACTAGAATATGAAAAACATCTTACTGATTATTTGGTGGTCTTTGACAAGAATGTCAGACGTTTGTTCTTTAATATTATTTTTGTTCTGCCTCTTTTTCAAGATAACAGCTTTTAAGAAATCTAGTGTAGACATAGGAAATCCACACTGGAGAGAAGGCAGTGTCAGTTTCTCCTATGATTTCCACCGATAAAAAGGGGTAAACACACACGTTTCTTCAAATGCCTCCAGAAGGGATTTGTTTTTGAGCCGTGAGAATCTACCTGGGCTGAAGGAATAGTTACTACATATTCAAACGTTATTCGATAACTAATTTTTAGTTTTTACATTTCTTGAGCCGTGGTTTGGTGTAAGAAGGCTACAGCGTAGTGAGAGGCTCTATTCACATAATACAGGGAGGGGCAGAACCTAGAGGGGAGGGTGGCTGACCGCAGGCTGTGCCGGAGCCTCGGGGCTCCACTCGGTGCTGCTTCTAGACTGTCCAGACGGTCGTCACGGCAATGAAATTTGGGGGGTGATTCAGGTCTCAGTTGTCTGCCCGGTAGGCTAGTTTTCCCAGCAGTGTGGAACCTGGCCCTCTCAGGTCCCCCTGGTTCTCTTCTCTGGGGGCGTCGTCGCTTACTGTGTTCGGCTAATTTGTGTGCCACTTTGCCCTCGTGTTTCTCAGAAGCACTTTATAGACTCTGATCGTTGTAACAGTCCATTTGACTGATACTCAGTCCTCAGATTCCTGAATCCCATGAGGATACCTGGACTTCCGAGTCAGGCCTGGCTTCAAGCTCGTGACTTTGAACAAGTTATTTCATCTGTGGGCTTCTAGTTTTCCATATCTAGAATAAGAATAATACCTATTTTGTAGGGTCATAAGGTTATTTTAAAATAAATACTGAGAGCACCGTTTTGCCTAAGAACTTGACCTGACAAACTGGCAAGCCTGTCAAAAGTCTTTACATCAAAAGTTAAATGCTAGGCATCCACATGTACTCTGCAAAAATAGCTTACAAAAATGTCAGAAAATATATGGATGATTCTATGTTCAGAGACCTTAAAAAATTTTTTTTTCATATTTATTTTTGAGAGAGAGAGACAGAGACAGGGAGACACAGAATCCAAAGCAGGCTCCAGGCTCTGAGCTTTCAGCACAGAGCCCCACGCGGGTCTCGAACCCACGAACCATGAGATCATGACTTGAGCTGAAGTCGGACGCTAAGCCGACTGAGCCACCCAGGTGCCTCTATGTTGAGAGACTTTTAAAACGAAGACAAGAATTGGGGAGATCTTAAGATAAGCCTTACGGGGACGCCTGGGTGGCTCAGTCTGTTAAGCGTCCGACTTCGGCTCAGGTCATGATCTCGCGGTTCATGGGTTCGAGCTGACAGGAGCTCAGAGCCTGGAGCCCTTTTCCAATTCTGTGTCTCTCTCTCTGACCCTCACCTGCTCATGCTGTCTCTCTCTCTCTCTCAGAAATAAATAAAGCATTAAAAAAAATAAAAAAAATAAGCCTTATATTAGAGGGAAAGTAGAGGACCTAGTAATTCACCAATGAGACCTGGCCTCAGATACAGATCCCAAGTTATACATCTTGGACAATAAGCACAGAACTAGGCGTATGAACACAAGGGCATCTTTCAAAATTTGAGATGGGATTTGTTGACTAAAATGTAAAAATATACACACACACTGCTCCAAAGAGGTCTAAAGGGGTGAGAAGCAGCCCTGTGTCAAGAAAACACATACATGGAATGTCACAGATGTGAGAGGTGAGGTGGCTGAGAAGTGTGATGACGGGGAGAAGAGACAAAAACATGGGCTAACACTTAAGATTCAGGCTACTGATTTCTGAATCCATCAGGAACCACTCACTGAGGCAAGGTACTTGCACGAATGCAGCAGGACCTCACTGGAGTTCTTTTTTTTTTAAACGCTTGTTTTTGAGAAAGAGAGCTCTAGAGCTCACACGTGCTTGAGCAGGGGAGGGGCAGAGAGAGAGGGAAACAGAGGATCCGAGGTGGGCTCTGCCCGTGGACCGCGAGCCCAATGCGGGGCTCGAACTCACAAAAAATGAGATCGTGACCTGAGCCGAAGTAGACCCTCAACCTACTGAGCCACCCAGGTGCCCCAGGACCTCACCAGAGTTCTTATTCACCAAGACAGTCTGTTGGCCCTTGACTTGCTGGTAATGCCATCTCACAGTCGTGTCCTCGCAGATTTCTGTGACGATCAAAGTAATTACTGCAGACCCTGCTTAGTGCTTGTCCATCACGCTCCCCTCTTCCCTGCTGGCCGGGCTCTGGTTGTTTTTTTACACTCTTTGCCCCTCTCCCCCTTGTGGCTCAGGGAGGGGTGGCCTTGTCTCAGCTCCCAGGCTAAAGTCCATTCCCTTTGGTGTGACGGGGTTAGGAGTGGGCATGGGACCGATCCTGGCAAACGAAACGTGAAGAGAACTCTGCTGATGGTGTTTCTGGAGAAAGTTCTCACCCCCAAGGTGACCTTGCAAGAGACCTTTTTTTGCCTCTGGACATTATTATGTCTGGATGTCATGACTGAATCCACTGGAGCCACCTTGAGACCCCAAGGGGCCAAAGCCTGTGCCCTGAAGCTGCAGAGCAGACAGATGGGAAAACACTCCCGGCCTCGAGTATTATTGCAGAACCGCTTTGCCCAGTGAGGCCCGTGCTCGAGATCCCTTGCTCGGCCATCGATATATTTATGGGAGATTTTTCCTCCTTCCACTCCAAAACATCCTTAGTGACACCTGGAAGGGAGTGCTAGACATCAACATATACTCCAAAGCTTAGGAGATTCATGTGCAAAAAGATGAGAAAAAAAGATGAAGATGATTCTGTGTTCACATCTCTCAAAAGTCAATCTGATCGTCACAAATTATCCTGGTGGTGAAGGACAGAAGAGATCTCTGAAGACCATCATGCCCCAGGTCAGCTTTCCCATCTTGTAACTTCTTAAAAGGCATGAGCAGAAAAGGCGTGAGTTCGGACGTGTAAATCAAAGGCAGAGGTAGTCAGTGTCAAACACCTCTGAGAATAAGGTCACAAAGACTTGGAATGAGGTGGAGTTGCCAGAAAATGATAAAAAAGTCCATGTTCGCTGTGGTCAAAACAAAAGAAAAAGCAGGGACATGCTGCTGGTCGTCAATCCCAGCTCTACGTTAGAATCACCTAGGGGGTGTTCTTTTTATTGATACTTTGCTTTTTATTAGTGAAGCCTGGGCCTCTCACATCAGCCGAATTGAATCTGCACACTTGGCGGCTTGGAGCAGCTGCCTGAATTTCTGTGGGAAACAGAACCACTTAAATACCAAGAACACAAAGGAACACAATGGAGAGGTGTGAATGAGTGTAAGTCAAAGTAGGGTTGGAAACCAAATGAGACGGTGGAGACAGGAATAAGGAGCAGCTACGGTGGGCGCAGGCCCCCAGACCCAGAGCAGTTAACATTTCAGGATCCTTAAAGGACGCATGCGCCGAGCGGTCGGGTCACAGGGTTGTCGGGGAGTGAAGGGGAGCCCCCCAGACCCCCTCCCTCCTACTAGCCCTCACACATGCTCACCGCCACCCCTGCGCCGTCCCTGATCCCCGTGTGGCCGAGGATGCCCACTTCCCGTTCCCATTTCCTCCCCAACTTCCAGAAACCCTCTCAGCGGCGCTGTGGAATTCAGGATCCGGAAGAAATCGGCCATATTGTCTCAACCTGGACGTTTTCTTTGGTTTTCTAACTCTCCCTTGAGGACCCTGCCTCCTGTGCAGTCCTGAAAATCTTCTTCTCAAAACTGTCATTGACTGAGGGCTTCAGGAAGAGAAGCACTGTGGTCATGCGCGGTGCTCACATTTCCCGGGATAAGCCAGGCCCAGGGAAGTAGAGCTTATTTTTTGAACACAGAGGGTCATTTTCCTAGGCTGACACCGCTCCTGCAAATCACCTTTGTTGTTGTCTTTTGTTCTTAAAAGTGGGTTTTGCTCATTGTAGAACATCTCATGATTATAGAAAAATATGAGGAAAAAGAATCCCATCATCCAGAATCAACCACTCATATTTTGGCAAATTTCTTCTAGTCCTCTTTATTAATATGTATACACTAAAATAAAAACAACAGACACTACAAACCAAGTTTATATATTATTTTTCATCTTTCACATGTCATAAGTATATATCTGCAGAATATTAAATCTTTGCAAACGCATTTGTAGCTATATAATATTCCATTTTATAGGCATATAAAATTTTCATTTATGCATTTCATAAATGTTTAATATTAAAATTACAATGGAATAGCAGCTCACCAGAATGGCTAAAACATTTTTTTTTTAATTTTAAAAAAATTTTTTGAGAGAGAGTGAGTCTGAGTGGGGAGGGGCAGAGAGGGTGCGAGACACAGGATCCAAAGCAGGCTCTAAGCTCTGAGCT